GATCTCTCTCTCTCTCTCGATCTCGATCTCGATCCGCGAGCGGACTTCGCCGCAGATCTGGACCACCTCCGCGAGCTCTCTCTCTTCCCCAAAACTCTCCCCAAAATTCCTCCGCGAGATTCCTCCTCCGACGCTCCGGGTAATCTCTCCCGATCCCTCTCTCGATCTGACTAATGGGTTCCAAAATGTTGAGATTTTGATTGAGTTTTTAATGTGGGTTTCTGATTGTAGATGGATGAGAGTTCTTCACTGACGCGCTTGGATTGCCGATCAAAAGGAGGGGCTCCAGGGTTCAAAGTTGCGATTTTGGGTGCTGCTAGAGGAATAGGTCAGCCTCTTGCGATGCTGATGAAGATGAATCATTTGCTGTCAGTTCTTCATCTCTATGATGTTGTTAATGCCCCTGGTGTTACTGCAGATATCAGTCACATGAACACAGGCGCGATGGTAAGTTTCTTAAATTCTTGCTCTTTTTCTCTTTTGTGTTGCCTGAGAGCATGCTTGGATTAATTGGTATTTTGTGCGTAGCGGTGTTTAAGATGTATTATCCGAGTATTATTATGGGTTGAGTTTGAGATGATCCTTCTGTTATGTTTTTTAAGCAACCTAAAAAAAATGTATAATTCTTTATGCTCCATTGTGTATGAGCATTGACAATCATAGTTGCCATATGCAAGGCGACAGATAGGAATTCACAGCAACTCTAATTACAAGCAAGAGGCAGTTGTATGAGACAGCAGTTGTTCATATGGATTTGTAGTGGCAGTTACTTGGTTCAATTTGCAAAATTGTGCAGTTGAAGTTATAGTTGTAGGTGTTTGCTTTGGGGTGTTACATTTTTCTATTATATTGAAGATCAGTTACAACTTGATGGCATCCTGAAGTATAATCCTTTTTTGATTAGGGTTTTTGCTGATTTTTGGTTTTGATTTGTCTTTTTGGTTGCAGTGGCGGCTATGAGGAGGTGTACCCGGAGGCAAATAATCAGTTCTTGAGGGAAAATGGGATTAGGCTGTTTCAGTTTGGGATTGATGGGTGCAAGGTAATCGTTGTTAATGTGGTTGATTGTAGGTGCCTTTGCTGTTTCAGTTTTGTGAGTTCATTGTAACAGCCGGAGCAAAGAAGATGCCTCGAGGTGAAGGAAGGTAGAAGTGCAGTAAGCTAGCAGATTTTGGAAATCACCAATTTTACCGACTGATAGGGAAGGGAAGGAATTTTTGTTTCTTTCCCTTGCCTGATTTTACCGACTGATGTAAATTTTGTTGTAAAAGAATGTAAATATTGAGTTGTAAGCTATGCTAGCTTGGGCAAGCAATTTGAATGTAAGGAATATTTATCTTCGGTTTTATTGTGTGCATGTACAACAAACAAATGTTCAATGCAGTAGTTCTTCCATGTTTCAACTTTTCATGAGACTTGATGTTCTATGTTTCTTTAGGCTCTTTTTGGTTGTGTCAATAAACGTTTGGTTGTGGTCTCATATTGAGATTAATTTTTGTTCATTTGATGTTCGGTTGTGAATTTCAGTTTGCAACTTTGGTTGTGAATTTCAGTTTGTAACTTTGGCTGTAACTTTCAGACTGTTAGCAATACCTGATGGTGCAAATGTTATGCAGAATTGCGTTATATCATAATCCCAAGGCCTCTTATGACCAAAATAATCAAAGCATTTGCTGCAGAATTGCGTTATATTTCGTTCTCATTCACCAAACATTTGAAAATAAAAAAAA